GAAAAAAGGGAATCCTTGTGCACTGTTGTTGAGAATGGAAATTGTGCAGCCACTATGGAGAACAGCATGGAGATTCCTCAAAAAATTAAAAATAAAATTATCGTCTGATTCAGCAATTCCACTTCTGGGTATTTATCTGAAGAAAACGAAAACACTAACTTGAAAAGATATATGCACCCCCATGTTCATTGCAGCATTATTTACAATACCTAAGATATGGAAACAACCTAAGTGTCCATCAATGGATGAATGGATGAGGAAAATGTGTTATATATCACAATGGAATATTATTCAGCAATAAAAAAGAAGAAAATCTTCCCATTTGCAACAACGTAGATGGACCTTGAGGATATTATACTAAGTGAAATAAATCAGACAAAGACAAATAACATATGCTCTCACTTATATGGGGAATCTAAACAAACAAACAAGAAGATCAACTGAACTCATAGATACAGAGAACAGATTAGTGGTTGCCAAAGGTGGGGGGTGGGCTGTGGGGGAATTGGATGAAAGGGGTCAAAAAGTACAAACTTCTAGTTATAAAATAAATAAGTCCTGGGGATGTAATGTACAGCATGGTGACTATAGTTAAGAATACTGTATTGTAGATTTGAAAGTTGCAAAGAGAGTAGATCTCAAAAGTTCTCAACACAATAAAAAAAATATTTGTAATTATGTGCGCTGATGGATGTTAACTAGACTCACTAGGATGATCATTTCACAATGTACACAAATATTGAATCATGTTGTATGCCTGAAGCCACTATAATGTTATATGTCAATTATATCTCAATTAAAAAAAAAAAGCACAAAAGTGCAAAAGACGTGGCACTAGATAGACTGTGAAGAGGATAATTGTTTATAGTATGTGAACTGAAATAAGAAGGCAGAGTGTTGCCTTGTTAGAAGTCAGCTGGGAACGTGTGCATTGGGCAACTCAAATTTTCACCACTCTACAGATTCGTGAATGACTGTGAAAGTGCCATGAGTATTGATTTTGAGGTTACAAATAAATTTTAGCTAATAGGCAAATTTGCAAATACGGAATCCATGAATAATAATCGACTGTATATTCCTTATATTCCTCTCTTGTGAAATGACACCACCATCAAACTGGTTACCTAGGTTAGAAACCTCACATCAGCCTTCTTTCCTTTCTGTCCTTTACCACCATGTCCAATCAATCATCGGCTTGTACCTCCTAAATATATGTCAAATTCTGACTGATCTTTTTGTATCTGATTTTTCCTTTCTTCATTCTATTCGCTACATTACAACTTCCAAATGTCTAAAACAGTTACCCTTTTCACAGTCTATTTAGTGCCACGTTTTTTTGCATTTTTGCATTGAAGTCCAAATATCAGCGTAATTTACAAAGCCCTCCAGCCTCACCTCTTGTCATCCCTCTCCTGTACACCCTGAAGTTCCAGCCATGAAGAGCTTCTTTCAATTCGTGGGATGTGAGATGCCTTTTTTCTTTGAACCTCTGTGTCTCTACAAGGAACATTTTTTCCCTCTCTTTCCCTTTTCTTTACCTGCCTTATTCTTCTGACTCATTCTTCAATTATGAGTATAAATGTCATTTTTTTCTGGGAAGTTTTCTCTGACGTTCTTTCCACCCACTACACACATACGCATGCACACACTCAGACACATATACCACTCCAATCCATAGGATTCTGTAGTTTAATATAATTGCTTGTTTAATGCTAGTCTTCCCCCATAGACTATAAATTCATTAAGGACAGGGACCATTCTCAGTGTCACTTGGTAAACACTATATATATAAAGTGACTTGTTTTTCTGTCATTGTGTATATTACTTAATTATTACAAAGCCTTTGGAGCACTGCAATACTAATAACATAAAATGAAAAATACAAACAACTTTTCACTTGCCTGTCTATTGTTTTGTATCTATTTACTTGTACCTTCAGTAGCTTTTGAGGTTTTTTTTTTTTAAATATTAGTGATTATAAGAGCTTGAAGCTGAAATGGCAAATCTCTATAGTTCATCTGTTGATCTATTTGTGAATAGGCAGACACTTCATCAATTACTCAACTAGATTGGTCGGACATTTACTTCTCAAATTCCACCTATAAGCTTTGAGTTGACAAAATTAGCAAAGGAAATAGAATAATCAGAGTTGAATTTATTTAACAGCCACTAGGGAAAATCTAACTCATGTTTGCAAATGGGGAAGCCAGACCTATTAGATAAATTGGTCTTTTTTAATGTTTTTATTCTACTGAATGAATATTTGAAAGGCAAAACTGTATCTAGTTTAGAATTAAGTAGAGGTTTATGATTTGGTTTTTATATAGAATTTCATCTTGTATATTTTCTATCATTTACAACAAATAATTAAATTAGTATACTGTGGTCTAATTAGAGAGAAGTCTTTCCCTAAATTCTCAGCTGAGTGTACCTTGGCTCCAAAGCATATTGAATATGTAACATCACACTAGAATAATAAAGGGACTTGAGGGCTGTTAACCTTAAAATGAAAAGCCTTTCAGTGTGTACAGAATGTAGTTGACATTTAATAATACCACTATGCTGTGAAATGGTGACAAATGGGGAATAACTTTAACAAACCAACAGGCAGTTTCCACTTCTTATTTCTTAAATAGAATCGTTTGCTACCTCATTAACTTATGGACTAAGAAAGTCTTGAAATAGTTGTCTTAATGTTTGATTTCGTTTTATAGGCAGAAAAACTCAGGTGTGTACAGTTATAATCACTTTAGCATTTTAAAACCTTTGCTTTTAAGCTACACCAGGGGTCAACAAACCATGACCCAGGGGCCAGATCCAACCTGCTTCCTTGTTTCTGTATGACCTGAGAACTAAAAATGGCTTTTACATTTTTAAATGGTTGGTAAAAAATCAAAAGAATAATATTTCATGATAGGTGAAAATTATATGAAATGCTAATTTCACTTTCCGAAAGTAAGGCTTGATTGGAACATAGCCACACTCATGTATGTGTTGTCTATCGCTGCTTTTGCACTGTTAGAGCAGAGTTGAGTCATTGCAACAAAGACTGTATGGCTCACCAAGCCTAAAAATATTTACTATCCTGCCCTTTACAGAAGACATTTGCCAACCTCTGAGCTACACTATTGAGTTTGCCTGATTGAGTACCTTAAATCAACTTTCCCAATTTAGGGATGCAACAAAGAAGCCATGTTGAGTAAAATTCTTCAGACTTTTGGGACGGTGAAGGCAACTGAACTAGGTATTACATGAAGTTTACACTTTCTCACATGGGCAGGGCCTTCACTTTCATCACTGATTACATCTTATTTATTTTTTAAATAAGTGCTTGCATAGTGTTTATTATTTATCAGACACTGTTCTAAAAACTTTGTAACTGTTCTAAATCCTCATAACAACCATATGAGGTTGGCATCTCTACAAATGCGAAAACCACAGCACATGTATTAGTGAAAGTTAAATAGTTAATTAGTGAAAGGGAAGGTATGTAGCTAGTCATATGAGTTATGCAGCTAGGAAGGGGCAGAGCCACGATTTGAATGAAATCATCTGGTTCCAAAATCAGTGCTCTTAACTACTCTGCAATATTGTCATTCCTTTTCTACTCTTGTTTATTTAGAAAAGTCTTGGATTAAGAATAGAATTTAGTAATAGTGGAGCATCAAGTTTTAAAAGCTTTGAGCTTGTGTTAGTTTTCTAGGGCTGCTATCACAAAGTACCACAAACTGGGTGTCTTAACAGAAATTTGTTCTGTCACAGTTTTAGAGGCTAGAAATCCTAAAGCAAGGTATCAGAAGGCCATCCTCCCTTTGAGACTCTGGGTGGAATCCTTCCTTGCCTCTTCTGAGCTTCTGGTGGTGGCCAGCAATCCTTGGTGTTCCTTGGCTTGCAGCTGCACCACTCCAGTCTCTGCCTGTGTTGCCACATGGTGTTCTCCCTGTGTCTCTCTCTCTCTGTGTCTTTTCTCCTCTTCTTTTAAGGACACCAGTTATATTGGATTAAGAGCCATGCTACTGTAGTATGACTGCATCTTAATTTAACTAGTTACATCTGCAATGACCCTATTTCTAAATAAGGTCACGTTGTGAGGTCCTGGGAAGGACATGAATTTTGAGAGGACACTATTCAACCCAGTTACAGAGCTCATGAGCCAGCTCTTGGGCTCTAGAGCACCTTTCAGTTTAAGCCCAGAAGCCCTAAATGAAAAGTGGAAACTGTGCACTAAGAATTTCCTGGGCTGGCCGGCCCTGTGGCTTGGTGGTTAAGTGCGCGCGCTGCGATGCTGGCGGCCCGGGTTCGGATCCCGGGTGCGCATCGAGGCACCACTTCTCTGTCCATCCTGGGGCCGAGTCCCACATACAGCGACAAGAAGGGTGTGCAGCTGTGACATACAACTATCTACTGGGGCTTTGGGGGCAATAAATAAAAATCTTTAAAAAAAAAAAAAAAAAAAAAAGAATTTCCTGGGCTTCGTTTCTTCTTGTTTGGTGTTAATCCTGCGCTAGATTATATCCTGTCTGGGAAGACTGATTTACTGTTCTCAGCTCCTGCTTTTTTCCTACCTCCTTTGGTCCTTTGTTCATGATTCATTTGAGACTAGTTTTCATTCTGGACTTATTTTCTGGAATATTCTGTGAGGTTTTATAAGGAACATTTTCTCAACTGTTGCTATAGCTTATGAGAACATTGGTTTGTCTTCCTTCTTGTGAATTTGTGATAGTTGGTTCAGAAACCAGCTTTCGTGTGTTGATGGTTGAGTTCTGGTAGTTTCCTCTTAAGAATCTTTTGTATTCATCCTTACAGGATTTGCAAGTAAGGTTCAATAAAAGGTAATTGTTATTTTTATTTTTTCTGTGATTATTATCATTACTAAAATCACAGATTTTGAGAAATGTGGGTCTGCCTCAATTCCAGACCTGGGAGCTTTTCTTTTCCCATGAAATACTGGAGTAATTGGTTTAATTGTGTCAACCCATTTCTTTTTGTTTATTTTATAGGGTGCCCGGGAAACATTTGAGAACTACTACCGAAAACAGAGGCGAAAACAGGCCCGTTTGGTGCTCCAGCCTCCATCTAACATGGTAGGATCACCACCTTCACTTTTATCACTTTCATTTTTCTTCTCTGGTATCTTTTAATTATTTTGCATATGTGCTTTTTAAAAAAATTTTAACTGTCACTCTGAGACCACTTTTGACAGATGTGACTTGCGGTAAGAAACTAGCAACTAACATCTATCTATAGATTGCTATGTGTCAGGCATTGTTCTAAGGGCTAGATATATATTTTCTCATTTTATCCTCACTGTAACTCTATAAGGTAGGTACTATTATTATATTTACCTTATAGTCTTGGGAACTGAGCCTTAAGAAAATAAGAAACTGATTTTAACTTTGTCTTAAGGTACCAAAACAGAAATAATAACTTTTTTTCTTTGCTTTGTTGCAGCATGAAACTTTAGATGGCTACAGGAAGTATTTTAATCAAATTGTAGGGTAGGTATATATATGTATGTGTAGATATATTTAAATTTATACACTTTTAATACCTAGATTTGTGAGACTTGGAAAAATAAATCAAGTTTTCCTTGGAAAATTCTTTTTTTTTCCTTTTCTCAGATTCTTAAGATAAGATTTATTTTTGACTTTCTGATGATTTCAAAGGAGTGTCCTATTGGTTTCAACATTATATTGTTGGAGAGTACTTTGTGTGGATAAAGGGAGAAAAAACAATGAATTGTAATCTTATTGTATTTGATGTTTTGTTTCTCCATTCTTGGTAACAGAGAACCAAATAATCAGCAAAAGTTGGCAAACTGTTTCTAAAAGGACCAGCTAGTAAAGAACTTGAGGCTTAGCAGGCCATGCGGTTTCTGCCACAACGTTTCAGCTCTGTTGTTGCGGCGCAAACGCAGCCTCAGACAATCCGTGAATGGGGGCACGGCTGTGTCCCAACAAAACAGCGTTCATAAAACAGGCAGCGCGCCAGATTCGGCTCATGGCTGCATAGTTCACCACCCTCATCTAGAGTGTAAATATATGTTAGCATGGAATTGCAGTTCCCAAATAACCATCCCAAATATAGGCAGCTTGTTCTAATTACAAAATAATGATTTTGAGGTTAAAAGAAAGGGAAATAAGTTGAATTGTTCCATGAAATTTCTTTCTTTTTATCAGATTTAGATTGTTTTAATGTAATTGATAGGTTTGATTAAAATATATCGTAAAAATTCCGTTTAAATGATTGTTTTAATTAGTATGAATATTTAGGCATGATAGCTGAAGACACATTTTACATATATAACAATAAAAAAGCCACAGCAGAATGTTAAAAAATAAGTTTGCATTTTTTTTTTACCTCTGTAAGATACCTTTTCAACACTTTGATGAGAAAGTCTATATTAAGGGGAATTATTCTGATACTTTTGTGTGTTGGGTTCTTAACGAATCTGTATTTTAGCTTTCATTGTCTCTTTAAAATCTTTTAATTTTTTTAAATGTATTAATGGCCTGGTGTTTTTAATATAGTGAAATTAGCCTCCTTTACCTATAAACATTTTCCTCTATTACTGGATGGCATGGTTCACATTTAATAAATGTAACTCCAATTTCTGTAGAAGTGGTTAAGAAAATATCATGATCAGGGACATAATTGCAAGTCTAAGAAATCTGATTTTGTTTATGATACCAAAGAGCTTTCTTTAAGAAAAAAATGACTATTAACTTTGAATTTGATGGCAGCTCTTAGTGTTTGTCAAACCCTGGAGATAGTAGTTGAACTGTAATTTCTGACAGCTGTGCTTTCTGTCTTCCTCAATCTTAGCTTTTTTGTGGTTGAAGATCACATTTTACATACAACCCAGGGCTTAGTAAATAGAGCCTACATTGATGAACTGTGGGAAATGGCACTTTCGAAAACCATCGCAGCACTCCGTACTCACTCGGTATGTAAGAAGCCCAGAGAAGTTCTTACTTGGAGCTGATTATCTATATGCTATTCAGTGTTTTACTGCTTTACAATCATTATATGTGTATCATTTGGAATCACCCATTTGGAGCTATGATCTTCAAAGACATATGTAAGTAACCACTTCAAATTGCCGTGTTCTCCGACGCTGAGCCCACTTTTGTGGATGCTCTTTGCAATAAGAAAACAGCAGTTAACATTTATTGATTGCTCTCTCTGTCTATGTCTCAGGCTTTGTTATGTGTACTTCATATATATTTCATCCTCACTGCAACCCTATAATGTATTATTATTATATTTACCTTATAGTCTGGGGAACTGAACCTCAGAAAGGTTAAGTAACAAGCCTAATGTCACACAGTAAGTAGTGGAGCTTCGATTCAAACCCAGACAGTATGACTCCAGAGCACATGTTCTTAACCGCTACTCCATATTGCCTTCTGTAATGCCCATTAATAGTAATTTGGCGTTCACAGTTTATTCTTACTTTTTGAAAAAAATTGTTTACAGCATATCACTAAGTTGCCTTATTATGGGTTTTCATGATCTTTTGACATAAAATCATTGCACGAATTTTTGATGATAATCCACTTCATTTCAGAAAGAGAATGCTGGCTCTGAATTAATCATTCATTCATTCATTCAATATTTTTTGAACATTGATGACGTGTTGGTGGTGGGAATACAACAGTGAATAAGACAAAGTCTTTGCTTTCAAAGAGTTATATTTTAATTGGAGGAGATTCCCGATACATAAATAAGAATATCAGACAGTGATAATGCAATTCAGACAATTAAAATAGAGTGATAGATTAGGACAACAAGGTGCCTGCTTTTGATCGGTTGATCAGAAGTAGCATTCTGAGATCTGAATATCAAGAAGGAGTCACTATTTATGCAAAGATCAATTATAAGAGTGTTCTAGGTATAATGAACAATAGTTTAAGGGCTTTGAGGTACTTTTATGTCTGAAGTGTTTGACGAATAATAGTGAGGTGTCAATAAAAGAAGATAATTTAGCATTAAAAAAATTTCAGTAAATAGCTCTAGTATCCATTTAGTTGTGCTAGCTAGAAGCTTGTCTCCATGACCCTTCAACTCTCTTTATCTATTCATCAGCAAGTGTTCCAGAGTAAATGCCATATGTAAAATCTATAATTGAAGAAAGTGTAGCTGTTTTAGGGAATTAAAAAATGTCCAGAGTGTTAGAACATAGAACATAGAAAGCTATGGTAGGAAGTAAGAATAGAGAAGTTGAAGTAGGTAGGTGTCATATTATTTAAGACCTAATTGATCCCTTAAGCAGTGGGCTGAATGGAGTGTGTGTGTGTGTTTGGGGTTCGGGTAGAGTAAATTGGAATGAGAAGATCAGATTTCCATTTTGAAAAGATTACTCTGGCTAAATTATGAATGAAGGGTGAGAATGGATGTGAGGAGAACAATTAGTAGGCTGGTCTAGTATTCCAGGCAAGAGATAATGATAACTGGACCAAGGAGTGATAGTAGATATGCAGAGATGTGGATGAATTCGAGAGATTTTTAAGAAGATTAATTGTACTTTCTGATGGATTAGATATAAGAGATGAGGTTAAAAGAAATACCAAGGTAATGCCTAAGTTTGTGGTAGCCTTCCTTGGATGATAGTGTTGGTTTTGATGGTTTCAAGTGGGGAGGTTCATGTGTTGCCTTTGGATATGATTACTTTCAGATGCCTTTGTGCCATCTGAGTAGCAAGGTCTAGGAGATTGGTTAATATATGAGTTTGAAACCAAAGAGGATATGTTGTTATTGAATGTGTTGCAACTATTTTTCTCCTTTTATTTTTGTTTAGGGTTTCTTTTTTAGTATTTAAAAATTTTAAATGTTTATGTATCTAATTATATTTATCTTATTATTAAATTTTCTGCATTGCTTATATATGGCCAAGAACTTAATCTTACAATTTTACCATTTTATTCTTTTGTCATAATAAAGTCTGGCAAATTTGAAAACATTTTTCAAAACTTCCTGCCTGTTCAGGTCCTTCAACTATTTTATGGCTTGATTTTTATACATTTATGTATTTACTACCACTTGTTGTTTTCATTTAAAGTCTGATTAAGGATCTCATTGAATTTTTTTCAATAGTATATCCATTGTCCTAAAATCATTTTTTTAATGTCTTATCTTTTCCCCATTGTATGGTGTGTTCTTACATATAAATATTTGTTATACAAAGATAACATGTTTATATAAGATAGTTAGAAAATATTGATTATTAATAGTAATAAATTTTGGCTGTGATCCCTGGCATAATTATTATTAGCTTTCTTATATGTAAATTTAAGGTCTTTTTTTCTGTGTATGAATACACAATATACAATATATATTTAAAATAGAAACATGCTGTATTTTTCATTTACTATCTAATTAAACTGTAATAATTTTAATATACATTTGCACGATGTTCCATTGGAGGAATGTGCCATTTAAAAAGTTAATCCATTTGATAAGCTTTTTAAAAAAGTTTTTTTAAGCTATTAAAAGCATTGCAGTGAATATTTTTATCAATATTTCTTTGCACAATTGATTATACTAAGGATAAACTCTTACATGTGAAATTAGTGAGTTAAAGGATCTATGCATTTCTTAGGCTCTGGATGCGTATTGCTAATTTGCTCTACAAAAATTGTGGAACCATTTAGCACTCTGAGCGTTATCTATTAGAATGCCTATTTCCCTTTTCCTTTTACTCCATAGAAGGTTATATTTACAAACAAAAAAATCATTCCCAATCTATGTCTGAAATTATATCTTAATTTAATGTTTTTCTTTGATTAATACTGATATTGAAAATCTCTTCATATGTTTTTAGTTGTTTGTATATCTTTTGGAATTTCCTGTTCATATGCATTACCTTTATATTTTAATAGGTTTTTAAAATATTTTATAATTTATTAATAGAACATGGCTGTTATCGTTTAATCTGAATGTTAATCTCTCTTCTGATATATAGGTTGTAAATATTTTTTCTTAGTTTCTTATGTTTCTGACCTTTGCTTTTCTTTTCCTTGGCTTTACAGAAGTTTAAAATTTTTGTGTAAAGTTTATTAAAATCTAACTTTACAATTTGTCTTCCTTATTCCAGAGAATATGTAATTATTTGTCTATATTTGATTTTAGTATTTCTACTAAATACTGATCACGAACATAAAAAGTTTATTTTAGCATAGAGTGTGAGGTTAGACTCCATCTTTATTTTCAAAATGACTCATCATTTCCAATAACAGTATTGTGATAATCGGTTGTTTTATTCAACTCGAGTTGCCATAACAAAATACCATAGACTTGGTAGCTTAAACAACAGAAATTTATTTTCTCACAGTTATGGAGGCTGGAAGTCTGAGATCAGGGTGCCAGCATGGTTGGTTTCTGGTGAGAAATCTCTTCCTGGTTTGCAGATGGCCACATTCTCATCCTGTCCTCACATGGCCTTTCCTCAGTTTTTATTCTAGTGTCTCCTTCTCCTTTTATAAGGATACCAGTCCCATCAGATTAAGGCCCCACCCTTACGACCTCATTTGACCTTAATTCTCTCTCTAAGGCCGCCTCTGCAAATACAGCCACACTGGGGGTTAGGGCTTCAACATATGAATTTTGGGAGGACACAATACTCAGTCCATAACATCTGTCCTTTCCCAATGTATTTTGAAGACCACCTTTATCATATAATAATATATTATATAAACATTAAGGTCTGTTTCTAGGCTCTATGATTTCCCCCCTACCCCCTTTCCTGCTCTCTGTCTTTAACCAATACAACATCATTTTGATTATTACATCTGATATAGTGTGGTTTAATTTCTTACAGGACATATTTATCCTCTAAAATCCCCTTTTTAAAATATGCTATTTAACTTCTTACTTTTCTTCCAGGTTAATTTGAGAATCACTTTGTCACATCCCTTCCACCACTTACCTCCCTCCAAATTTGAACTATAGTGTTATTATGCAGTAAATCTGTACATTAAAGTGGAGATAATTGACATATTTCAGTATATGGTATTTTTCACAAGGAATGTATGTATTTTTCTCACTTATTTGCCTTTATGTCTTTTGGTAAAATATTTTATATGCTCCCTATCTGATTTTTGGTGTTTTATGGTTTTTTCAGGTAATATTTTGAGGAAGTTTTTTTTCTAATCATTTTTATTAACTAATATTACTGTCATTCTATGGAAGAGAAGTACCTGATTTTGTTTGTTTATTTTATATCTGTCCATTTCACTGCACCAGTTTTACTTTTTTCCTGAGAAAAGCTGTTGTTCTTTTAGAAAACTTAGATTTCTTTCAAGCTGTTTCTTTTTTGTAAAGCAGTGCTTCTTAACTTTTTGTGTGTGGCTAATACATTTGAGAATGTGACAAATCTGTAGAACTCCTTCAGCAGGAAAGTGTAGTATTCATCCTGCAATCGTATTTGATGTCATTAAGAGTAGGACACTTTCCAAGTGTACCAAATAAAGTGTATGTCTATGGAGAAAATTAATCTTAAGGGAGTTTTTCTTTGTAGATCTACTGTATGTTCTTTTGAACTGAAAAATAAATGACAAAATACCTCCTCTTTTTTTCCCCCCAATAGTTCAGCATCAATCTATAGAGGTAGCAAGTAGACTAGAGGTTGCTTAGGGCTGAAAGTGGGTAGGAGGACTAAGGAGGTGACAGCTTAACTGGCAAGGGGTTTCTCTTTGAGGTGAAGAAAGTATTCTAAAATTGACTATGGTTATGTTTGCACATATCTGCGAATATACAAAAAGCTAAAAAAAACCATTGAATTATATACTTTAAATGGATGAGTTGTATGATATGGGAATTGTATCTCAACATAGCTATTAAAACATAACTCAGCATCACACACATTTACTCAATGAACCATTTTATCCATTATGAGACAAAGTAGTTGATGCCACAGATGCTAATTCTATTTCATGACAATATTTA